CTGCCAGCTGATTGCTGGGATACACTAGCATCCAGAGATACTGAACATATGTATCCAGTCACCAGCGAGCGCCTGCTATAGAGCAGAGAATCACTAACCAAAAAGCACCATGAAGTGTCGAGGCGACGGATAGATGACAATAGGTTTGTAAGACCAAGAACGTTATATTAAAATATAGGGTGTATGTTTTCCTTGATTAGAGTCTAAATCTGATCAATGTCCTACAGAATGTTCTATATACCTGTATGTCCTTATTCAAAAAAATCTTATGCTATCATACTCGCGATGTGGTAGATACGTGCACGATTTTCATGTAAAACAGGGAAAGCCTATTTTCAGATAAACGCGTAGATGAGACCTAGACCATGAATACAACGGTTTATTCTGTAGTAGTAATAATAGCAGTACTAATAATAGCAAAGAAATGACTAGGCATTGTTACACTAGAAGAAATACATTGCAGAGTATGAAAAAAAAAACCATACAGAAAAGCTAAATATGACTAGATGTTTTTTTCGAATAAATGGAATCGACTAAAAATATTACTTTTCTTAACGACCCACAATTATTGATGTAAGCCTCCCTCCTGCTACTGAGTACGTCAATACCCCTTCAATGCGGTATAGTTAACTTTATTTCTATGTGGTTTAGTTCGTGGCCTTTATCTAGTTTTTTTTTTGTTTTAAATAACAAGTCACTTAATTAAGTCACTTATTATATATACCTAAATAAAAATATTTTATATATATAAACATTTTTCGGCTACCATGTGCTCACAGGTCACGCAACTCACTGACTGGGCACGGAGCCCATTACCTTCTCTCTAATTATTTCAGCCCGAAAAGATATAACTATCACAATTTTGAACATCGTATTTTACGCTAGCCGTGTTTTTCAAATATTATAATATATTTTACACAATGAAAGATGGGAAAAAGCATCGAATAGACGTATTTCATCGAGTGCACATAAAATCGATCTCGTTCCGGTTTTAATGCTTGCCAGTGAAGTAGAGGCGTGAATTAAAGCTAGGTAGATTCCTTCCAAATACGAAAATCATGTTACAGCTTACTCTAGACTGAAAAACGTTGGTAAACTGATGCGTATGTTTTGCTTTAAACCCTATTCAAAAACGCTATAGTTTAATATTAGAAGATATAAACGTCAATCCTAGTTCACTGCACTATGTCTTGTCAATGACTCTTGCATATTGTTATCAAACAAGCTCAGCAGCTATAATCTTATCGTATACGCAATGATGCATTCTAGCAAATTTCTTAAAATTAAAAACGTCGGCGGAATAAATATAGTTGTTTGAGAAGTTTGTTTTTAACATTATTTTAAATTACATTAAATAAGGAAAAGAATCCAAACAATGCTTATTCACTGTGATAGAACTGCTTATTATCTATGATATGATTAACCCATTCTCAGAAACGGTATCTTCTTTCTCGCGGCACAGGGTATCGAACCCGATCCATTAACGACACAATCATTTTTTGCGTTTTACGGACGCATGTACACCTTTCAACGCAAAGAATCCCTTAAAATTCATGTTTCTGTGAGACAGTGACAAAGCTTAAAAATGAAGATTTTTTTTAATGGAATAAGTTTCCTCCGGCATTAGTTTTATTGCTAAGTCTTTAAATTTCCAAACAGAAATTACTTGATAGATATAACTTCTGAAAACGTCGGTTGTTTTGTGCGCAAGAGTCTGCGATTAAAAGCGTAGACGCAACCGCGCCATATCTTTCCGTTGGTGCCCATCTTGGTTAATTGATGAAACATAACTGGCTGAATTAAGTCAGATATTATATAATTGTAATTTACCACGCTCGATTTTTCAGCATTGCAATAAAATTTGCAAAAAAAATTCTATTGTGGCCAGAGATCTAGGATAATCCTCGTGAGGTTACAACTTTCACTTGGTACCAGTACAAGGCCTGCGAAGCGAGCGAAACGCTGAAGCTTAATCTAGCCATGGACAGTATTAGTATTTTTTTCGAAATAAGTGAGCGTCTGGCAGAATTCGAGAAGTCATTTGTTTTAGGCAGACAACAAATGCTGTTTCCAGCGCTATAATACATGTCCTGCAAACATACTCCGTACCCTCAAAAATGTTACGCTGTAACCCTATACAATAAAAGATCGATTTCTTATATCTAAGCCGACTGACGTTTGCATGGAACCAAATGAAAAAGCAGGGTTTGTAGCTGTATGCAGGTACTCCGAAGTCCCTGCTAAGACAATTTTAATTCAGAGCTAAACAATAAAAAAATATGAATTAAAACACTTCATTGTTTGACCGATCGCTAATTTGTTATTTCTACTCAACTGATGGACATGGGCGTTAAATAAAACAGCATACACGTTTAGCCATAGCGGCCGAATAAATATCGCACTGCATGGTTCCACCGGGAAGATACCTACACTATATCCTACTAATCTATTGACTTTCATATTTGAAATCTTGTATTTTGTGTTAATCTAAAACCGAAAGTTTGTCATGATCGTTTTGCATTTAATATTATAGTTTATTATCGAATCGTTTTATGTCGAACATTATAGTAAGTTTTATAATATATGCTTAAGGAAATACTACAAATGTGAATGTCAAATACACGATGCACAAAGAAAAAATCAGGGGCAAAAGCCCAATAAGTGCCATCCCAATTTTTGCATTTCGAATCCGCCTGGCAGAGCCGTCCACAAATGATGACGAATAAGAGCAACCTAACGATCACAATTTTTTACAATGCCACCTAGAACACTGACTGATTTCTTGAAAGACATCACTCAAAGAAAATTGCTGTGTATTAAATGATAAGGACTCCTATGAAGATATTAAATATCTCCATAGGAGTCTTTATCATGATTTAAAATAGTTTAGGCTGTATTTGAAATTGATAAGTGCAGTCGCTTGCTGAAGCACTTTAGACAATATTTAATCGATCAGCGAGTTCCACAAAATAGAAGTAAGCTCAACTGTAACCGATATATTCCAGCGAGGCTGCTGGACACTGTTCAAGTTTGTAATACTTGTATTTCTAGGACGAGAAATATATTCCACATCACATCAGCGGTCACGTCGTCATAATGAAATGTAATAGTGGTACATCTAAACCTAGTTTATCTACGACTGAAAGTGAATTTTTTTTCTAAATTTCGTTTCGTGTTAGGAATCAGCCGTCAAAATCAATGCTGAACGTCACCACCGGACGTCAAATCTAAAGTATTCATTTAGATCAGCGGTCGTATTGACAAAATTGTTTTGGCTCAAGTGGGCAAGTAGGTGAAATCCTTTAGAAAGACATCATCACAACCGGACAGTACTCAGGACAGCCTAGACGAAATCACACATGCGAACCGCTGGTTTATAGAATAGCACAGAAAGATAATATTATCCATTTTCTGGCTTGGAATGGCAGCAAGATGCATGTAGGGACAATTGTTGGCCTAGCCGTAAACATCTGATCTTCTATTATGAAGATCAGATCAGTCAACTGTTTTCATCTAATAGAGCCTCACTCTATCCTGAGGTCTACGTAAACAACCTGAAACGTGAGACTCGCTTATCAGAGTGCTTGCTTGTAAATTAATAGAAGAGACATGAGTACTCAATATCATATGATCTAAAACAAATATTACAATATCATGTGGACAGTTTGGAACAGAGATCAAAATTATTGTTACCTCTCACGTACGTTACGGCTTGCAAATGGAACGTTTCGGCGACCAGGCAAAATTCATAGCCCAGATAAATCCTGATACGATGTCCGGTTATGAATGTATGTCATAAATTGTTCCGGGTTATCATTCTAGTTTTCGGTATTAGAATCAAATGTTCAGCTTTATATCCTGCGTGATTTGGCCCCTTTTGCAGAAACGTCAGGGTATCAATTGTTTCCATATCATTAAACGTTGTATGCAAGAAAAGACTTGAACGTGCTAATACAGAAAGGGCCGTTATAGTATCGGTACTCTCAAATGCGAAACCCCATAGCGAGCCGTGATTTATAGTGTTCGAGTACGCACATGCTTATCTGGGGCTGCGATGCATCTCTAGTAAAAACCTCCATAGTTGGCTGTTTTAGGAAATATGGACAATTCGCAGGCTAACCCAAGCAGGATATGTACCCTACATCGAAATTAGTGCTTATTTCATATTCCCGTGCAAGGTCACCTAACATGAGGCACCCAAGATTTTTATTATAGCGATAGTCAATCTTTACATCTGAACAAGAGATGGTCATATCAGAACATGGTACCCGCCACAAGTAACGATAAGCTCTTACATTTTGCCTTCTAACGATATTATAAGGTCACAAATGAACCTTGTAAAAGGGCGCGATTCTCATGTGGAGCCAGGACACTATACATAAGTTCAAAAAGAGACTAGCTCTAGTAACAAAATCCTTTACAGACTTGCAATATCCAAAACGTAGTCACATTTTCCATATTTATAAAAGAAATTCAAAAATATTACCAGTGGGGCCGTTTCAACCTGTTTCGCTTTTGCTAGTTGTCAGCAATAAACAGATTCAAATTTGAATTACTCACACCAAGACAGGCAGGACTAAAACCTTTCATACAACTGTAATCGTGCGCATATTTTACTAAGTAAACCAATTAAACCCTGTTGTTGCTTTCCTTCGTGCCTTACCCTGCCCTGTTCTGTTTAGCTTTGCGTTTGGGCTATATATATATGGACCTCTATAGTAATCTTTGCTCACCGAATTCTCTGGGGCACTCGGAGCTGTCGAATCATCCCAAACAATGGACTAATGCACATTTTTCTCAATAATAACACACACCGGTATATTAATTGAATTCTAGACCACGCAATTCCAATTAGACTATATTTGTAAAAAGAAGACTCCAAAAGATGAAGACAAAGATAGATTCTGCATTCAAACAAAATCTGTTTTCCGATTTGCATTAACAGTATAGTACTGTAGTATTCCTGATGAAAACCCCAATTGTCGAATTAGCGTACTTACCTCGTCCCATTTTACGAACTTATTGCCATTCTGTAGTGCCTGCGGTACCGAGATTGGCTTGAGTTGTACCACGTGAATTCCAGCTTTGGCTCCCGCCATCTTGTGCGCGCCACCTGCCGAGCAATGAAGGGTGTGGTGCCGTCAGTGGGGGACAATGCGATGATTACACTGGATTTCACTTGAAGAACGCTGATTCCGAACGTTAAGCGCCAATAGGCCTTCTTTGAATATGCTTTATTTTTTCGTATACTTCTTCACCTTTCTAACTTGATGTTGTCATGAAACGAAGCAACGTTGTTACTCGCCAAAAAATTACACACAGGTGAGACAGAAGAACGGACTTGCCTTCGCTGACGAATCGTACATTCTGCCGTGAGTCACTAACTGTTCAAGTAATTCACACTCGTAAGTTTCGCATGACCACTGCGATACGTCCGGACACCGCACAAGAATGTCTATTTTCACTTGATGGCGATTCTTGTAAATAGCAAATTGATCCATCAATCAATTATGTAACAAGTCTAAATTGTACATTAGTCATATATGTAGTAACGTGCCTAACGGAAGAGGTCTGATATAAGCGTTAATAACAGTCATATCGTCACGAGCTTCACTCTTATACAAGCGATTCGAGTCCACCTCAGACCCTACGTTTCACTTTAAAACGAGCACCTTTTTTTCAAGAGTAGCTACTTATGTCCAGAGCGCGTCTGCTTTCCTCCCTCATGTTCATTGTCGTGCCTGCTATCATGTCACGTTTTTCTAGTTTGCCAACAAAGTCGTTTAGCAGAAACGTTTTTATATGTCTATAAATTAGCTAACATCTGCTTCTAATATTGGTGTCACCGGTGCCTACTACGTTCTATAAGTATTTTCTGTTGGTGACACTGACGCTGATATTACAAAGCAGGTCTGTTATGCACTACTTCAGTATTAGTCGATCATTAATTTGTATAGAAGGTGAAGTAGACACCTAGCCTTCAATTAGGATGGCCGTCTATTGCAGTAAATAGAATTACGTCAGTCCGCTGCAATCAGATATTCGTCTATTATCACTGTAGGTGTCAGCAACTACCGATAGGTCTGTATAATCATTTCGTCTCTAATGCTTAAACACACCTATGGTTCCATGTCTGTCTGTGCATTTTCATTCCCGCATTCGACATCATTAGCAAAATAGATGATAAGCTTTCCCATGAGGCTTTCAATAAATTCGCCCGTAAGTGACATCTATAGAACTAATGATCGAAAACGTTCAACTACGCGAATTCTACTGAGCTGGTTGCAGAGGGTAAGCTATGCGTACACAATCTTCTACTTCACGCGTCTTTGTATCCTATCAGTTATATAAGAAGGCGAGGCTTGCTGTTTACAAGTGCCCAAATCCGGTCATTTATGTCAGAGCTGCTAAAAGACTATTTGGTGAAATGTACTGCGCGGCTAGAGCTTTTCCTCATATCTAACGTTAGTTGGGTGGTCGACACAGGCATCTATGATCATCGGGCACCTTCCTTGTTCTGTTGCTATTGGCATCTGTACGCGTGTGGTGGCTGTGTTTGAAGATAAATTTTCGGCACTTATTGCAAAGAGTTGTCACGCGCGTTTACTCTGGTGAGACGCTTGAAGGAACCAGGCAACCCAAGAGGAAGGCATTGCCTGCTGACATTTTGTTGTCTCTTAGAGTCTCCATTTTGCAAAAAGTTCCTGTATCCCCTTAGTTTCCCGAACCGGACTAACAGTTCGTTTATGACGTTTCTTGGGTCCGTTCATCACGGGGCCGCTCCTCCGGAGCGCCATCCATAGCCCCATACATTCTGCCGCGCACGGAGTCTCAAGTTGCGTGGAATCGCTTGCCACCTATTACAAGCTACATACAAATGAGACAGTTCCTTGCTCAATTGTACATGCACGACTCGCACGTCACCGGATATCACCTGAGCGTTGCACGAACTACACGAATCAAATATACACATACAGGTGCTCGTTTGGTAAGCTGCTGCCGGGGGTACCACACTGCATGGATGTCGCCGTCGTCGGCAGCTACAGGATATTTTCTGATGATCTAGAGTGGTCTTAGGTGGAAATTGCTACTGGTGATGCTCAAACGGTGGAGACGGAAGCTGGGCTCGTGCTCTAGTGGCAACACACACGAATCTCAGAAATGAAATCATTTAGAGATAAACGCTCGAGCTCGACAGGTGAGTAACCATGAGGAACTCAATGAGACTAGTCAGTTAGTTTCACGAGAAACTGTTGAAAGAGCTACTAGTCGGGGAAGGACGCGCAGACTGGCCAGTGTAGGGCTTTCGCTACAGCCTGGTGGCGCCGCCTAACGGGCCCCGACGTAGACAAGCGGCGACAGGGCGCTCTCCCGTCAGTGCCTATTGCCGTCTACACCCACCTCCACCATTGTACATACATATATACAGTGAAGCCGCCTTCCCTTCGTAGTGCTAGCTTTCGCTCGTTGCCAGTGACCGCCGCCGATTTACTACTAAGAATACTACTGTGGCCGGTTACACCGCGACACGGGGTACGGGGGCAGGTGGGCGGTTGGGCACCCGCCGTCAACATGATGATTGTCGAGGCAAAGGCCCAGCTAACCGACCAGGCAAGCAACTACTTCCAGCAACAATCGCGGTAACATCGTGGCAATACATAGAGTTCCACTGGTCGCTGCTTTGATTGATTTATTTCGTAGCGCCTTCAGTCTCTCCCGTTTTAACTCACTGTGATATTATAACATAAATAGGAACAGCTGCAGAATGAGGAGTCCTGTTTTTCGGCAAGTTATTAATACTCCAGGACAATTATTCGAGTTAGCAAACAGATGTCACACCGATCGGACCAATGCAATAGAAGTGAGACCTTATGTGCAGGGTTGCTTGCGATGGGTGATGGCGGACATGCTCGCGGCTTCGCCGCAGGGCGCCAACAAGTGGCTTTGTCGGAGCAGTTCGCCCTTCCCCAAAACTCCGCCGACCATTAGCCCCAACTACCTGCCTAATAGAAGTCCTGCTCTCTTCCTGCTAGGTAATCAACAAAACTAAAATGTACAAGTTTAAAGAACTATATGTAAATAACTAAAGCAGTGAAGTTCTAGATACTAAAGTTATAATTTATCTTAACCGGGTCTAGTAAAAGGTGCTGTCAAAATTGGTTGAATATATATAACCCAGTGTTGGCTATATATATCAAACTAATGCGCTTTGTATGCATTTCAAATAACGGAAATGAATAAAACCATAAGGAAGTCCATCACCGTAAGTTTAGGAAGGCAATCTACAGCTGCCCAGTCAGCTCTCACATATAGTGATTTAGTGAACAGGATTGAACCAAAAGTTCTTCATTAACTAAGCTCGAATGTGTTATACGCGTTCTGTAAAACAAACTATGAAAGCCAAGAATGAAAAACTGTCGGTTAATCCTTAAAGTATGAGGCAAATTCCATAAAGAACACAATTTCTTATGACGTTAAATTATACCTCATGCAGTATTGTGATAAGCTCTCTGGGAGTACATTATGGCACTCAAGTTTTTAGGGATTTTATGTTAGATATTTTAGAACTTATATCCGATATCGTTGTTCGAAGTTATAAAATTATTAGTTTCTATCTCTGGCGCAGACGATAATAAGATAAGAAAGACTACTTTCTTATTCTTTATGCAGCCGGCGACGTTATAGGAAAAACCGGTGCTGCTGATTAGCGTTGCCACTGCAACAATTAAACAATTTATTCTTGAGTTCCAAGTGCTTCCCTAGTATGTTTGGGAAGTCCTCTTCGTTTTTAGTCCTTCATTACAATAATTCGATATGCATATTATAGTATTCAAATATGTCCATATAGCCTGATCTCTTTAAATTTTTGATTTTTCATCTTAGCTGCTATAAATCGACATATGCCTTCCTTTGAGATATCTTCCTCCTAAAAGGCCTCGACTCAACTGATCTTCCCGGGTATGTATTTCACTGTTATATTGTATCTCATAAGTTCAGGACGCATCCGCTAAAGTCGTTTTGGGCGAGAGTCTAGAGCTTATAAAGGTATGCTCTCCAGCGACTTGTGACCAGAATGGTTTGTTACATTATTTTTAGCCTAGATGTAGTGTTCGAACTTCTTACGGGTAACGAGTATTGCTAGACACTTTAGTTTGCATAACCACATAGTCTATCTGAAGTACTATAGATCTTCCTTTGTAGAAATACGTTGGAGTAAGTTTATTTGTGATGGGTTTAAGTCTTTTGTTGTCGGCTTTACTAGTAATATTCGTATTCTTATATACGTCTATCTACGGGTTGTGTTGTAATAGGTTTGGTGTAAAAGGTAACAGGTAATTGTCACACCAACGGCATTTCGCTAATAATCTTTACTTTTTCTGCGTCTTCTTTGAGTTCATCTTTACTGATCAGATAATTCATGAACTTGGACTCAGACACTGCTATCGAAGCTTGGCTTTATCAAAACGTGACCCCACTATATGTGCTTGCTCAAACAAGGCATGTAAGTTTCGATGATAATTTTCAAACTTGCGTTTCGTTTTTACCCACATTATTATAACATCCGCTACCACAACCACATTCTTCATAAACTTGTGTCGGTTTTGTCTGTTAGGCTGTCTTTTAGGCTGACGGTCCGCAGTATTCATATCTACCTACTGGTGGGAATCCAACCACATTCTTCATAAACTTGTGTCGGTTTTGTCTGTTAGGCTGTCTTTTAGGCTGACGGTCCGCAGTATTCATATCTACCTACTGGTGGGAATCCAACCACATTCTTCATAAACTTGTGTCGGTTTTGTCTGTTAGGCTGTCTTTTAGGCTGACGGTCCGCAGTATTCATATCTACCTACTGGTGGGAATCCAAAATGTTGTATGGTCGTGCCTTTCCGGGCTTAATACCGTTTAGTAAAATTCGTCCTTAGAATTCCATGTCAAGAATATTCTGTTTTGTGTGGTAATAGAGTGCCATTTATTATAGAAATATGGAATATTGTGGCCTACGCATAGCCTTACTTAGCGCGTGTGTATCCAAAACAGGCGCTTTAGGTCGCGTCCAGGTTGATGTACAGCGACGGGATTTTACATGCGTTCCATAGGGTGGTCCACTTTTTGGATAACTCCCAGACCTTCTAGCTGTTTGATTTGGTTGACGATGGCTTTCACAAAAGCAATGAGTCGCGGCTATCGAATTGCTCCGACTCCTGCCTTGACGTGAATTTAGAGTTGTTGTCGCACCTGGCCTAGATGTTGACAGATCCTTGTATTCCTCAACGAGAGTTTCTTTGTCTCAATGTTTACGCTTTGAGCCTCTCGCGACACTTGTATCAATTGTAATCAGAAACATATACTTGCAGATAGCAGCGTTTTTATCATCAACAACTCAAAATCTAATTGTCTTTTTTACTTGATTGATCCCATTATGATTACTTATGAATCATCGTGCATCTTGAAGACTGGTCAATCCTTCTAGCTTAATTGGAAAGCTCTGTTGAGGTAATGGGGGTTTCAAAAAGATCCATTGGCCCATGGCATCGCCTGCGGCTCTTGTGTCAAGGAACGTCCGAATTTCTATCTTTTGTTTATTTCCAGTTATTAAGAATTATTATACTTCGACGTACGTATGCGTGCTAAATCATCTTATGTGCTACATTCACTGCACGTTTGATCCATAGCTGGGCATCTTCGTGTAAAATGTAAACGCCCAGAGTTTTGACGCGGTTTTCTTCGTTGTTGTTTGTTTCTTACTTTTCGACCTGTGCAGTGTTGCCCTCTGCCCTGGGGTATCACAATAACATCATTTATTTGCTCATTGGCACCGTACATTCCTCGTCGGTCCCGTTTGATTACCGACAGGTCACGCTCATTTTCTTTGTTTTCAGTGCGCCTACGACCTGGTCTGTTTTTTTTCTTTTGGCACTCTTCACGAAGAAATGCCTCTCTAAACGCATCCCTAGGATTAGTTTATCCCTGGGCTTCTTAAAGTTCTCATATCCGCACCTCGTTGTTTGCTGATCCATGCGTTCTTTGAACTCTTCGACCGTTTTTGCATCTCCATTGTTCGTTTTCTGGAATAAATAACTTAATGATGCCTAAAGTTCTTTGCCTGCTGAGTTGCCACCAGAAACCGTGTCGAACTTCACCAAACACTGACTTGAATTATGTTTGTTGTTTTCTGGACTATTGCTTGAATACATCACTGATCTGGGTATAATCTGTCCGGACGTCAAAGGAAATTATCCGATTCTCATCGCGATCTTTTTCATGACAGGATGCTTGTTCTATGCGTCGTTGTTACTTTCTTTATAATGTGTCCGTAGTTAAGCCTAGATTGACTGAGGCATATTAATATTCTACACGAACGTCGTATGGTAATTGACAGGGAACTGTGTGACATACTTTGCTAGGCAGCGCTCGACGGTGATGCACTGACGCGATCATTTTGTTATAACTACGCCTCGTAACGCCGAGACTCTTAATTTTTATAGGGTTCCGTACACTGAGAATGTCTGTTAATAGCTAAATGCTCGCAGCTTTATTATTCGCTTCAAATAGTCAATCGGAGTTGGGTATATTTTCCAGATTTAAAATGCCATTAGTAAACTTCGTGAACAATCTTTCAACAGTACCCTGAGGCAACGAGTCTACACCGTATATGACACAAATATCCTGAGATGCTCCGCTAACTTTTTGACCTCGACAAGAGTTGAATGTTAGTAAGTATCAGAAACTCCGTTTATTGCAGTCAAATTACTGCGGACTTCTGGCGGAGCGAGAGCATAATCGAGTTGTATATAGGAATATGTAAGCAGTGGAGAAGCAAAGAAAAAAGTGAACTGTTGAAAAAAGCATCTGTTACTTAGCTTACAATATATAATAATCTTTTTTTATTTTATAACAACCCCTTCATCTCAAACAGCTCAGCTAATTACACTAATCACCATACTCTTGTAATATTATCATATTTTATTTCTTTTTTTGGCTCTATTTATTTTATATATTGATTTGTTAAGCTCTGTCAAGTTAAATGTGGGTGCGGTAGCTTGGCCTACCAACGTCATTAATGTACTAAATTTTTTAATGAAACTAACTAAACCGCTTTTAAATCATTTTTGAAGATCCTATTTCTAAATTAATAAATAATTTCCGATTAGTAACTCCGTAGTGAAGCGAAATTTATATGTGAAATGTTGTTAAGGTATCCCTCAAGACATGTCAACAAAAAAATTTCCAGCGGAATTGAATTTTTTGGGCTGATAGTAAGCGAAATCTCCCGAAAATCCAAATGGCCAAAAGGCAAAAATGCGACCACCGAGTAGATGATACGACTGATGACACCTAATTTGTAATACATATTATATTTGTCTGAAAAAAGCCGCTAACGTCTTTATCTACATAAATGATGTTATGCTCCGTTGTGCTGATTTTTGAATTAATTCAATGTGATTCCTATCGCGGGTCTTCCACTTTGTCTTATGTATATCTTCTTCGGAAGCTTTATGGAGCTCAGCAATAATATTAGTTAATCTCGACCACCCAAGAAAGTCTATAATCTCTGTGGGGATTCGTTCGGCTTAAAGACCTTCTTCATTCTTCGCCAAAATATATCCTAAATTATCTCGAATAACCGGAATTTCTACAAGGGTTGCCTATTCAGAATGTGAGGCTTACAAAAAGAAATAGTGAAAATATTATTTTTCAGCGACTTTAGGGCGCATCTATTTTTGCAGATGTTACCGTTTTCGAGAAATCTACTATTTAATAGATCTGCAAATTAAAAGAAAATACATATTCACAAATTTTTTACCGTTTTCTTTCTAGTTACAGCTTACTTTTAGTATAGATCTAGGCTAGATTTTCGATAGGTTCTTTTATACTTAGCTATAGCAAAGTGTCTATATATTTTACCCATTTTAAGTTATGTTTTGGCAAGTACTATTATTCTTTTATCATTTATTTCTTTACTATTCACATTTTGATTAAATACACAGAAAATGATCCTTCTCTTATGCTATATTCTTTTTAGTGTTTGAAAATATATCTGTATAACTCCCTTAGAGCTCAAAGCTTGGTGGATGACCAGATCAATCAGCAACCTAAATCCATCTAAGATCTCTCTAAAAAAAATTGTAGGTTATATCTTTTACTTGTTCTGACTTCAAATTTCTTTACGTGCGATGGATGAATTTTAGTGTGATCTAAACGCAGTTATCTACATAGCTTCGTAACTACCTAGACTCTTCAATATCTCAAAATATTATATGTAAATATTATATGTCATCCTCTTGAATAAAGGCACCATCAGATTAACAATATAAGGTACTGTGAGTCGCCTAAAGTTAACTCTATTAACAGAACAACTTGAATTCAGCACTTGTATGAGTGACAAAAAGTGAATATTTAATCTTTAACCTAAAGAGCCGTGCTGATATATTTAATGAAACCTATACAGTTCCATAATGACACACTAATTTTTGGAGCTAGCTCAAAATCGTGTCTGTTTTTAGGGCAATAGTGAGCCCGTTGTAAATAAATGTATCTAATATAGATGAAATTTTATGTCGTCACGGGATCTGTCTTCATTTATAGGTGTAAGCTTCAATTGAACAAGTGAATTGTTATGTTGAGGTTTTACATAAATGAACACTGATACGCGCATGGGTTCTCAAAGGAATACTGGCAAATATTTTATATACGAGTTCTCACAGAGACTTAGCGTATTCAATTAGATAGATTTAATGTAGATTATAGAGGAAAATAAATAATCTTTGTAAGCTCAATAATACCAATGACTAATCCCACTGTGTTAATTCTAGACTGCAAGGAAGAATACCAAAAAGATTAAATGTTTGGAGTTTTACTTCGGGAAATTTCGTGAAGCATTGCTCGAGACAAGTAAATATACAATGTCCTAACAAAAATTCAGTGTGTTTTTCCAATAAAGACCTACGCTGATTTCGATCTCTGCAGGTAATTTTGCTATATAATATGTATTACTTTGACATGACCAACAATTTCATAGCTGATCTACCAAAATAAAAATTTGAAACAAATTTTTGATAACTTACATATAAAGATAAACAATATTTGTAGGATTCTTCTATGCTGATCTATGAAAACAGCGTTATTATTACTAAAGTTTTTTTTTATTGATCTTTTTCTAAAATGTTTGAAAGAATGATACATCAATACTGTACCATTCTCACTAAGACTTTACCTTATAGACTTGTCGTCGTCTCGTTGATTAGACATACATTAAGGACTGCTGATTATTACAGACTTTTATTTCTTGTATGGGGCTGAGTTCCAAGTGATGTCAGCGGAACGGACTTTTTAGGCTGTTCATATATGTGAAATAAAAAGCTATATAATATTTTCAACCTGGCAATGTAGATCCATCACTATTTTACTGTTGTCGTGACATTGATTTCAAAGGGAAGTTTTATAATTACTTCACAGTTTAATTCAGATTACGTAAACTTGATAAACTAAATAATTCTTTATTTCGTAAATCATATACTCGAATATTTAAAAGTATGCTCGCAATGCCTAAACTTTGTAACTTCCCTAGTATTTCAAGCTAGCGATAAAATCGGGAAGCTGTTTAGGTTAATTTTTTTTTCTCGTTCAACATTGTTTCATCAAAATAGACGTCTTGTAATTCGGAATCGTACGTGGCTTCTTACGTCTGTGTGCTCTTTGAATCAGGATCGCCTTAGCTAAGGGCAGCCAAATAATTTTAATAATACCTGTGAATTTATTGGTAAAAGCTAAACGGTTTTATGATTATACCTTGAATGATAGTACTGATAATTTTGCAACCACATACAACTAGTTGCGTGAACTAGAATCCAATTGAAACGTCATAAAGACTACCAGATCATTTACCATACTGTAAATAGAAATTTCTATTAATTTAAGTTTGGGAAGGTTAGAAAAACTGAATTTAAAACGGCTTGTCTTCGAACAAGTATGGAAATTTTGTTTTCAAAGCATCATCATAATTTTATCAATGGCTTGTTGCTCTCCCTCGCCGTTGTCAACATTCTCATGCAATTTCAAATCGTCGGTGTGAAATTAATAAAAAGCACCGCTTGCACTGTTGAAAGTTAAGTTACTAAGAATGAGGGCTCTAAAACTAAAACTGGGCATGAAAAATTACAACTTGAAAAACGTTCATTTTAACTCAATAGTTGTTCTGTGTGTAAATAAAATTTCATAACACTTAGCTTATTGCTTTGTTTAGCATTGAGGAGAAAAACCTTTAAGCATAAGTGTTCCACAAAAGTTTATTATTATTAACAGCTTATGAACTAATATAGGTATTTTCTGATGAACGCTGTATAAGCTTACGACTATCATAATACTTTGTGAGTGACCAAGGAAATATTTAAAAATGAATGACTTAATAGTTTCCTCGCAAATAGACCCTAAGTTCACAGACTTGATGTTCATGAACAAACACATTCTAGCAAACATTCAAACATAAACATATTCTCATCATATACAATGAAGTAGTGTGTGTTCATTTCTATGAAGAACATCTGAAACTACTTCCTGCCCACTTCAGATTTCTAACTTTAAGGATGAAAATCCCATGAACATTATATTATTATTATACATTTCGCCTTCGATCAAATCGTTTATGTCATCGTAACATCGAGTGATGAGTAAAGTAAAACGATTAATCGATTGATGGATTGCGGGTATTAATTTGTCCAAAATACCTTCTTTTCCTTCCAACCATCCTATTCCTCACCTATCTAAATTCAGGTTCTTCCTAATTGCTTAATAAATCTGTCATTATAATTAACCTCCTTACGAGCCTTCACAGCGCGCTTCGCAAAACTCAACCCTTCCGTTCACAGGCAAAGTTTATCCAACAACTTCGCGTAATACGCTATCTTAGCCAGCATTAAATTTCTACCTCTTGAGCTCTTTCCTAACTATATATATCTATATATATAGTCTACAGCGGCAATTTTGTAAAACTAGATATGTGGTAGTATAATCAGTTGCTGTACTTATGGAAACTGAGAAATGTTAGGCATACGGTAAGTAAAAAAAACACCGTAATTGTTCCACTAAAAACGTCAAGTGAATAAGCTTCATTTTGATTTTCACTTCGAATATGAGTAGCTTATGGCTCAAGCCTCATGGCCTTCGAGTTTTTGAGGTGTACATACAGAAATCCACAGAATGCTGCAGCTCCCAGTTTCATGATTCCTCCCTTATAACGTTTACAACGAGTCTCACACACGCACTCGTGGAAGCTTCATGCGAAACCGTTGATAATAATAATAACACATAATAAATAAAGTTCACGTTTAAGTTTGTAAACGAATACAAATGCATAGGGTGAGATTGTAGACAACATTGTCGCAGGATGGTATGAGAATAACACTATGGAAGAATGCAAGTATTTGTTAAGCTAGTTTATCGTTAACGTCCGGATAGGACACGATACGTATCGATTTGTACCGCTGTTGTTGCTGCTAGATATGACTTTTTTTTGGACCTTTCGTGCTGATCTATTGGTTCATGTTTATGACTTCAATTATTAACCTGCAATTCTAAATAAATTTATCAATTTCAAGTTACATTTATTTAGTACTGTAGCTCTGTTATGCGATCTAATTTCTAAACAATTTGTAGGTACAATAATTCGAAAGGATATAGTCCATCAATGGACATACATATAGAATATGCGTGGTGTGATTATGTGTCAACATGCAAGGTGCTTATATTAATTGATATATATGCAGCTTTTTTGCCGTTGATTACTTATGGTTACCTCGTATGGTTACATAACAAAGTTGTAAGCTACGGATTATCCGTACTCTTCTTCATACTGACACACAAATAACCTAGCACTTTTTAACGTTAGTGAAAACTTTATATGACATAAATGTGCAAAGTCTATACAACAATAACCACACACAGTTTTAATGCTTCCTAGATCACATCACAAACACTTCACTATCACGTAAAACACACACTACATTTTACCATTATTGCCTTACGTGTACAGATCTAGTCACTTCCTCCATAAACCATACCCTACAGAA